TATTAATTTTTATATTGTCTTTTATTTTTAATTTATTCTAGTTATTTATTTCGATTGAGTCTTCAATTGTTTCTTCAACTTTCCCATTTGAATTGTCGTTATCATTATTTACAACTTGGGCTATTTCATCCGATTTAATGGGCCTCTGATTAGTTTCTGACTTTTTGGAGAAAAGAATTTCGTGATTTAATGTATCATAACCCCTTCCAATAAGACTGAATAATATCGAAATACCGGCGGATATTAATGAAATCACTGGAATGGGATCATAAATAATGCTATTGTGCTGTAAATATATTACCTACAGAAATATAAACACGTCAGTTACAGAAATTTTGACATGAGGAAATAAAAATGACGTGAACTCACTCTAATAATAAATTGCGGCACGTCTTCAAGGAATATATTAGCAAAACTTCCCCAAAATATTATAAGTTTGGCATCATTTGACAGCGGTGCACTTAAATATTTCGAATCCCATATCTCTGAGGAAATTACATTCAACAATTCAACGTCAGCTGATGATAGAATGGTGAATATTGATACCAAAGGGGTATAATTCTTGAACCATTCTCGAAATTCATCGTGATTTTGTTGTTCTTTTAATACAACATACAACGATAAAAATGTGTTAAAAGCAGTTGGCACCACTAAAAATACGATGCTAAAGAAAAAAAAATACGAAGAATAAAGTTATATTATGAATATATAAAAGTAACGTAAACATCAAAATAAAATTTAATTAAATATTTACGATGGAATTAATAAAGAGTAAATCATCTGGGAATTGTAAACAATAAATAATACATCCAAGACAAAATCTGTCAGGATGAATACAAATGTAAAAACAAACACGTTTCGAGCCTAAAAAATGCATGGATGATTATTTAGATTTAAATTCTTATCGGAACCAAGATAAAAACTTATCAAGTCCTTACTTTTGGATTTTTACGCCGTGCCAAAAAGAATAGAATGCTAACAAATAAGAATCCTGACAGAAGAAGTATTAAAGTAAACTTCAATGTATTATTCCATCCTTCAGCTAATAAAATTAAAATCATAAATTAATTGTAGGATGTGCAGGATAGTTATTTAGTTTTATCTGATTGATAACTAACCTGTCATAGCAGTACCATAATTTTCGTCCAACATGCTAGAAAGAGGATATCGTGCTATAAGGGTGGAATGCTTGTTGGTGATCAAAGCGTCTAGATCACTCACGATATCCTTTGCGCAAGGTCTTGTTGATTCCGTTGGTTGGGAAATTTTGACCTGTAATAGTATGAGATTATTGGAATCTAAAGGATCATTTTGAAATTTCCCTGTATTATCCGGCAATCTTGACCTTTCAATAGGAATGATCTCAGACAATTCATTCATCAGGTCAGTAAAAAACACGTCAATATCTTTCGAGTTGAGCGTATTAAAATATTCCGTCCCTTTGGAATTTAATTTGAGTAATATGGTAACCGATGCTAATAATAATAAAGGAATTCAATAACCTTGCTAAATAAAAAAAAAAATACTATACTATCGTAACTTACATTTACATACGCTCGGTTCCTCAATCGACGCGTTTAAAAACCAAACTCTCTTGTTGATTCCCGATATAGCCTCATTAAATCGTCGCGAGCTAACAAAGTCGTCATTGATTTGGACGAAATAAGTGGCATTCGGATTATTGAAAGTGCTTTTAAACACTTTGATTCCAACTGTATCATTGGCAATCGTCACATAACTTGATAGACCTGAATAAGTTTGGCGTAATAATTCAGTATGATCATCAACCACCTGATAAATTGAGATGTTTCCCGATGAAGGAATTATAGGTTTATCATATTGTATGGTGATGATTTCGCCTTTGTAGCGTATAACATCGTCAGTTGGCTTCGTTTCGAGTATGTTAGGATTTCTGTGTTTGTAATCTTTATAAAATTTATTTGTAAATAAATTATAAATAATAAAATGAATAAAAATATATGAATAAATCATAAAATGAATAGCTTACTAAACTCCATTACACGTAAGGTATCTGTCATTATGGTCCAAGAGGCGGAAGTTTGTTGGAACAACATTCCCCACAATGTGTCATTGTGTTCAAGGTACGCGTAATGAATAACTTCCCCGGTAAATCCTTTCCAAACGCCTTCGAAATCACCATTTTGCGTCAACAATATTCCCGTCTTTATATTATCTTTTAACGGAGCAAAGATAATCAGAAATCCACCATTAAATAATATACTTGCGTCTAAAATCTCCCTATTTTCAAGATCATTTCCCGAATCTATCTTCTTGTTACTTATTACAGATCCGGAAGTTAAAAAGGTTAACAAGTGCCATCTTTTAATCGTGCTAACTTCGGCTTGTTTCGCTGCGGTTATTAATGTCTCGATGAGCATTAGACACTTATAACCTTCCCCATTTGAATTTCGACAACGTAAAAATTCAATTTTATACAAATTTATTTGACTTTGATAAAGCAAATAGGGAAGGCTAACTTCCGCTGCGGATTTATCTATAAAGAATGCGTAGACCTCCCAGGCTGGATCTGACGCGTACAACTGATTAAGTTTAGTCACGATAACGAGACAATTTCCGCCATCACCCGAGCTAAGAATTTTGTATGATGTAATAGTTGATGACGGATTTGGAGCATGAATGAAGCCTGTTCCTAAATTTAAAATTTGCATTGGATTTGATGGACTAAATTATAATAAAGTTTTTATTACAATTTAAATTTATTATTATTATTCAAACTTTAAATTCTCAATTCTCGCATTCTTAAAACTTACTCCACTATAAATCTCGACCATGCAATCGTGCTTGTATTAACTTGACGAGACCATGTAAACCCTGTCTCTTTGTTCTTGTTACGATTGATTTCTCCGATCCCGATCCCTAATGTGAAATACTGTAAAAGATTTCCGTCGAAATCGATGACCATTCCAGTGTGCATTGTCGTCGCTTCGTCCTTTCCTTCAAAATACGTTATAAGGATCATGTACTCATTGATAAAATAGTTCATAAAAACATTTTGAAGCATACAGAAGTTATACGAGGGAACTCTATGTGCAACTTTTAAAGGTTTAACCGTTCCGTTGGCGTATACGACCCGCAAGTGTATGTCAGGATCGATGCATGTTTGTTCCGGGTTATTATAATGGGCAAGCTGGATTAAAAGGGTCCCATCTGTTTCAGTGAAGCTGTCAAAGAAGTACAGCTCTTTGGCTGCATCCTCATTAAATGTTAACGTGTTGTCGTATTGTGCATTTTGCGCCGAACAAAAAGTTATAAAGAATATTAGGATAATGAAAATAATCATGGGATTATGACAACGCAGAAGCTGTTGTGATGAATTATTACACATCTTTAAATTTGATTATTATTGATAGCATAAAAGTCAAAATGGATGTGTAATATATGTAATTCGAAAAAAAGGTTTATGAACTAGCATAAAAAAGTATAAGAATGTAAATCGAAAAAGAAGAGCTAATTTTGTTTTATTTGAAAAATTTTATATTAAAAATATTCATTTCCAAAAAAAAAAAAAAATGATGATGTGACTAATTAAGCCTTGCATTAATTAGTTACTTTAATAAGCGAACTGTTTAACATTGCGAATAAACAAAAGTGATAATTGGTATTTGATATACATTTCACAACTTTTTTTATTAGTTAATTATATATATTTAACAACAACAAAGCTCGGTAAGGCCTAATAAGGCTTTTGAATTCTCCAAAGATTTTTTACAAGATGGTTAGGATAAAAAAAAAAAAAAAAAAAAAATTCTCGAATCGCGCATCGTAACACAATTAAATTGATCGACCTCGAGCTCGGTTTCCAAACTTTTTTATTTATTGTAAAAATCCTTTTTCGAGTGCAAAAATATATACAGTATATTCTGGTGGAATTTTTTTATTTTATTTTATTTTTAATATGTAAAATAAAATTTTAATAATTATTTCTAAATCTTGTGTAAATAATGACGGTTAAGAAAAAAAATTTACCTTTTCTAATATATCCTCTTATATTCAATTAATTATTATAAAAACTGTACAAATTTCTTTCTTCTAATTTAATAATTTATGCTATTTAATAAAAGTAAGTATGAAAAAAAGGTAGCATGGCCGCAGGTAAAGTTTTTGTTGTCGATTAAACATGGAAGCTGAAATCATTTTTTCTTGGATTCACCTCATATTTATCTTCATTATGACACTGTTTCTTATTTTTTTTACAATATTTTTATTATCAATAACTTCATTCGAATCATTATTTTCCGCAGGTTCATGATTATTTCTTGTTGTTTCAGGGAATGGAATCCTAAGAATTAATGTATCATATGCCCTTAAAATAAGACTGCATATTATCGAAATCCCAGCTGAAACCAAAGAGAGTACTGGAATTGGATCATATATGATCGAATTATATTTTAAAAATATAATCTACAAAAAAAAAAAAAAAAAAAAATTTAATAGATGTTTACGAAAAAAAAAAAGTAAAAATTATCAAGCTTTGACTCACCCTGATAATAAATTGTGGAACGTGTTCAAGAAATATATTGGCAAAACTTCCCCAAAATATTGTAAATTTAGCTTCTTTTGACATCGGTGCATTCAATTTGTTCAAATCCCACATATTTGAGGTGATGATGCTCAACAGTCCTACATCAGCCGATGCTAAAATTGTCAATACCGACACAAATTTTGTATTGGACATGAACCATGCCCGAAATTCATCATTTGTGGATTGTTCTTTTAAGATGATGTATAAAGTGAAGAACATGTTGAACACGGTCGGAATCACCAAAAATAATACACTAAAGATAAAAATAAAGATATCTTTAGAATCCATTCAAGAAACGACAACAATAGCGTAATCCATTTAATTACCTGGGGATGAAAAGCGAAGAAACCATCTGAGAGTTATACATTATAAATATCATGTCTAGGATAAAGTCCGAAATGATCACCACAAACGTAAATATGAAAACATTTTGGGCCTAAATCATTATCTATGATTAATAAACAAAATCCTTTACAGAACCAAAACGCAATTCGTCAAATCCTTACCTTTGGATTTTGACATCTTGCAATCCAGTATATACCAGTAACAAACAGAAATCCGCCTACGACATATATCAAGCACAACTTCAATGTATCTCTCCATCCCTCACCTATTAAATAATATAAACAGTGATTAATTATAAATGTATTAAATTTTTCAGTTAGATGATAAAAATCACATACGTGTGACCGAAGCACCATAATTTTCGTCCAACATGCTAGATAGAGGATAATTTGATATAAGAGTGGAATACTTGTTGATGATCAACGCATCCAAATCACGTGCTACATCTTTAGCACATGAATCCGAGGTTTCCGTTGGTGGTGAAATCTTCACCTGTAAAAGGATGTAATTGTTCGGATCGTAAGGGTCATTTTGAAATTTTCCCGCATCAGCTGGAAGTCGGGATCTTCCAACGGGAATGATCTTCGAAAATTCGTTCATCAGATCATCGTAAAATTTGTCGAATTCTTTCGAGTTGAGTGAATTTAGATATTTTGTCCCCTGGGCGTTAAGCCTCACTAATACGGTGATTGGGGCTAATAATCATAAAAGAAATTCAACAACCTTTATCAGATAAAAAATTTCATTCGTATGTAATCCTTTCATCACTTACATAGACATGACCCCGAGTTATCCATCGCCGTGTTTAAAAACCAAACTCTCTTGTCAATTCCCGTGATTGCCTCACCATACCGTTTTGAATTAACGAAATTGTCATTGATTTGGATAAAATAAATATCATTGGGTTTATTGAAAGTGCTTTTAAACACTCTGATTTCAACTGTATCATTGGCAATCTTCACATAATTTGACAGACCCGAATATGTTTGACGTAATAATTCACCATGATCATCAACCACCTGATAAATTGAGATATTCCCATATGACGGAATTATAGCTTTGTCATATTTTATCGTGATAGCATCCAAATCGTTCCTAACCACATTGTCTGTTGGAGTCGTTTCAAGGATAGTTGGATTATTGTGTTTATATTCTGAAGGATCATTTTATAAAATAAATAAGCAGAAATAAAGAATCAAATAATATCAACAAATAATTTGAACGGATAACTTACTTTCCACAATGCTTCTATCACGCAAAGGTTCAGTTATGATCGTCCAAGAAGAAGAATCATTTTGGTATAGCATACCCCACACCGTATCATTATGTTCAAGATACGCATATTGGATTACGTCACCATTGAAACCTTTCCAATCCCCATCATATTCCCCATTTTGAGACAAGAAAATTCCCGACTTTTTATTATTTCCCGACGGGTAAATAACGAGAAAACCTCCATTAAATAAAACCGAGATGCTTAAAATTTCCGTCTTAGCATCCGTACCAATGTTGACCTTCTTGTTGTTAATAACGGAACCAGTTGTCAAAAAGGTTAAAAGATAATACATTTTAGTTGTCGCTGCCTGTATCGGGGTAATTGTCTCGACTTGCATTAAACAGTTATAACCCTCTCCGTTTGAATTTCGACAAAAAACAAAATTTAAATTAAAATAATCTACTTGCGACTGGTAGATTAAATAGGTGAAGATGTTTTGAGCTTCCTCATCTAAAAAATTTGCGTAAACTTCCCAAGCTGGATCCGAGGCGATCGTCTTATTAAGTTTAGTCACGAGCACGAAACAATTGCCGCCATTACCCGAACCAAACAATTTATATGATTTAATAACTAATGATGGATTCGGTGATGTTATGAAACCCGAATTTAATTTTATAATCTGCATAGGGTTCGTTGGACTAAATCAAAAAGCAATCATTAATTATTATATAATTGTCAATTCTCAAATTCTAAAAACTTACTCTGGTTTATATCTTGACCATGCGATTGTGGTCTCATTTATTTGCCGTGACCAAGTAAATCCGCTTTCAGAGTTTCGCCTTCGACTAATTTTTCCAATTCCAACACCAAATTCCAGATATTGCAAAAGATTTCCATCAAAATCGATGACCATTCCTGTATGTATCGAAGTAGCTTCGTCTGCTCCATCAAAATATGTAATGAGGATCATGAACTCATTGATAAAAAAGTTCTTAAAGACGTTTTTTAAATTTTTAAAATTACAGAAGTTTGATGCGGGAATTTGATGTGCAACTTCTAAAGGTTTGACGGTTCCATCGGGAAATACGATTCTTAAATGTATATCCGTCAAAATACATGTTGTTTGCGTCTGATCATAATAATGAGCCAGCTGAATCAGGATGGTACCATCTTTTTCAGTAAAGCTATCAAAAAAATATAAGCCCTTGGACTTATCTTCATAATGCGTTAAATACGTACTATACTGCGCATTGCAGAATATTATAAGATATGAAATTATTGCAAAAAGAATCGAAATAATATTCATGTTACGAAAATGTAGGGAATAACTAGAGAAATATGACTGAAAACGAAAATAATAAAATATCTATCACTCAAACTAATAAATTCATTTATCTTAATGTATAGCGTAATTAAATAAAAATAATCATAATCAATAAAAAAAAAAAATAAAAAAAAAAAAATGCAGTAATTGAATTTTATATATATTCTTAAAAAATATATAAGTTATTATAAACTTAGAAAGTTATTTGATGTTAAAGCATTTCCTTTCTAAGAAAAAAACACATGGCTTGCCATTAATCTCATTATATTATTACTAAATATTGTATTTGCCGATTTCGTGTCACTATAAAATTAATTAGTGCATCATTATTTTGTCGAATGTCTTTTTTTTTTTTTTTTTTTTTTTTGAAAGTTGTTTTTATCGATCCAATCTAATTTTATTCCTCTGTGTATTTGATAATAAAGCTAGCTGTAAGAACATTTTTAATTCAAGAACTTTTTTTTTTTTTAGTTTGGACTTGATAATATTTGCCACTTAATGATATGGCTCAGTTTGTATAGTATATATAATCTTATTAAAGAATGTGGATGCTTTTAAATAACGCTGCAAAATACTAATTTGTGAGCAAAGTGAAAAGGTTGTGCACACATGCACCAAAAAAAATCTGGATGTCGGTAACCTCCTCAAACTTGTAACGTCTAATTTAATAATCCTTCTATGACAAAATAAAATATCATCCTTACAGCATAGATATTGAACGAAGGGGAATTGGACCGGAAAGAAATTGCAGATATGATATTACCCGCAATTGATCAATGAGCAAAGTTTTGCTCATGATCTGCACGATTTTTCAAATTTAAAGTTTCGGACAGTTTCGGAATTTAGTACAGAAACTGAAATTCATGGAAAAAATGCTTCCAGTTTATTAATTTGAGTACCTAGATTATGGGGACAAATTCCTTTATTCCTGTTGTCATTTCATTATTAATATATCCTTCTTTTAAAACTTTTTGATCCAATATCGTTGATTTCACGTGATTCGCGATCCTCGGAAATTAAAGTTTTTGTTATCGTTGTATCGATAAAACAAATATGCAAGGCTGAATCGTGAATTTTTGATTGATATTTTCCGTTTCAATATTTTAATTACAATGAGAACATATGGAACGCCTTGTATACAGATGCACATGCATGCTACATATATTATATATTTAATTGCATGAAATAATCTATTATTAGACTAGGTAAATTATTGACCATCTTTTTTTAAGTCCACAATTACTGCGCCGCTTTAAATATTTGTCTTGATTAAACGGCTTTATTTGACAACGTGAATAAATAAATTAATGTGGAATATTGTTCCAAATTAGGAAAATATCCATCCAGTTAACAATTAATTCATTTACAATAAAAAAAAAAAAAAACCTAATTTTTAGTAGCTTAATGATTATAATTATTTTAATTTATTTTTTTTTAAAAAAAAAAAATAAAATAAAAAAAATAAAAAAGGTTTCTAATTGGTTGCAACATTTTGATTGGCTTTAACCTATGATACTAAATATTAAATATTCAAAATTTATTAATGTCAAGAATCGATCTTAATTACGTTTTTATTTAAGTTTATACGTAATTCGAAAGAAATTTATTGAGTTAACGGCCTCAACACCGATAAATAAATGCTTAGCTCTATACAAAGTTTTACCAAATATTTTATAATTAAAAAATAACTAATTAATTAATTAATTTGGAAGAAATTTAGCAGCTTCTAACCATAATCTACTAGGATCTCTCGCGCTTTTCTCGTCATAATATAATCTATGTTTGGCAGGTTTATAAGTATATTCTAATATATTATCTTTATTTACTATGTCATAAATCTCTTTGAACGTAAAACTTAAATCTGCAGGAAACAAAAATGGTTGAGGGATTAAATCTTTTAACGTTTCATTTTGTAATAATACAGGATTTAATAGAACGTATATTTGATCAAGATGAAGAACCTGACTACCGGGAAATGAAGCATAGGATAATGGCGTATCTTTGAAACCACCAACGGCAATTGTGCTCACATTAAATTTTTCGGCCATACGATGAGTAATCAATGAGCAGCATGACCCACAAAATCCGTTTGTTAATATAATAATATCCTCACTTTTCCATTTATATTCATTAATGTTTCCTGATAACAATTTAACAAATAGACTAAATTCTTGTATATCTCTGTCTATAAATTTCGATGTAAATGATGTAGGAGTTCCTCCTCTTATGTATGTGTGATTACCAATAAATTCCTCTACCGTGCGAAAATGATTCTCTGTATTTGGATCCTTGTAATCGTAAATGTTGAAAGGTGAAGTTAAGAATATGCTACGCACTGTCTTTGCGGCCCACCTTATTAAATCCTTAGCACCTAGGTCTAATGGAGGCATGGTTAATTCACCACTTACTCGTTCAGAATTTGGTGATGATGCTGCTTCGAGGGCCGCCCGTGACAATTCGCTAACCACCATATCGTTGTCGAAATCAGGACTAGAATCTGGAAACAATAAGTAAACGAAGAATAGTGCTAAATCTATGAATCCTCCTCCATTCTCATGAAAATCCAGTACGATCTATCGAAATATGCAATGCAAGGGTTACTAAAGGAATTTTTTTTTTTTATAAATTTAATCTTTAAATTATATTATTACATACTTTTGTTACACCTCTATCTTCTAATAAATCAAATCCAATTTGCAATTCAAACATTTCATTTACAACTTTATCTGGTGGCGGATAGACTGTTGGAATCACCACAACCCCTGTCTTATTATCACTCAATATATAAAAAGAAGCCATTATAGTTACATGAACTAATTCAACATCACTCATTGGTTGATTATAAATTTTTGGTTTAAACATTTTACTATATTCATCAGAGCCAATTGTTGGCATCTCTTGACAAAGTTCATGAAAATCTTCCGATGTATTAAACCTATCATAATACTCTGATCCAATCTTCCATTCTCTTGCAAATTTGGTTTTTACATCATTTGCACATACAAGAGTGTACTCTATTGATGATTTCTCTGGAAGTAAGCTGCCTATTCTTGACGTGAATTTGCTTGCAGAGATGATTCTGTCACTGTTATTATTATTATTTATATTTTTTAATGCTACTAGTGCTTCATTGAACCTCACACCTGCATCTTTTGAACTATTGATCTCTGTATCCGCAAATTCTTTTATAACTTCCATTGAAGGTCTTCCATCAATGTGTGTCACCTCACAATCAATGTGGCTATTATCTATTTCATCATCGAATATCTTGATGATTTGCTCATCATCATTGTTAATTACTGAATATAATAAAAGTTGCTGACTATAACCGAATGCTGACGTGTAACAATATGGAACAAATGTCGCGTGAGCATCTTTCAATTCATCTATTAATGATTTTACTTTTGACTGAAATAATTATTAAGGAAAATTGAAAATTATTTTTCAAAAAAGAAATACGCGAAAAAAAAATAATGCTAAAAGAGATTATTTATTAACCATGAATTGATAATCCGATGTATAATTCTTTAATAATAGTGCATCCAGTTCCTTAATCAAATCAACTGCTCTAAATGAATATCCTTGTTGAGGTTCTTCTTTAGCCTTTGATAAATAAACAAAAAATGCTTGATACGTTTTCTTTATCGTTTCGATCGTCTGCAAAGAAATCACAAAAAAAAAAAAATAATAATTATCAGTGCACCATCCCTCTTTCAAAAGATTACGACGCGTATTTATTTACATACGCTTTCGGCTATCTCTCTATCATAAGGAAACGATTCAAGGCATGCTTTCACATCGGAATAATTTGCGCTAAATTCTGGATCTTTGTTAGATTTTTGATATTCAATTGCTATTCTCGCACATGCATCTTCATTCTTTGTGTCGAGTGAATTAGCTGATGATAATGCGATCAACACGAAAATTACTGTGTGTAACAATAATTTCATTTTTATTTGTTATTTAATAAATATAACAAAAAAATTTGGGCCATGACAAAAATTCATTCAATTTATAGCTTTTTTCTTGAAATTGAATTTTTATTCCTTAGTATATTTTACAATATTGAAATGATTCAAATGAACCCTTCAAAAAATGGAAATATTTATAAAAGGATTAATTTTAAGAAAAGGAAGAAGCCACGGGTGGATAGGAAAAAAAAGCTAATTCATAGGTACTATACTATCTAATAGATGAGGCTACTGGATTAATTCTGCTCAGGCGCGCAGCAACTACAACGGGCCGTATATTAATTCCTAGTCCCAGCCCAAAACAAGCCTCTTGGCTGAAAATCACATTTACATATCTCAGCCACTACGGGATGATGCAAATTTCTACAAAAGATTGTAGCAACTTTGAACATGCTTCGGATATTGAAGGACTCAAATTATGAAACGTTCAAAGCAATAGACAATACAATATACGTTGAGAAATCTGATTATTTAGATGGTCTTTCATGAGCAAATCATTTAAGAGGAAAGGTTGGTTTGATTATCAAATTCTAGGTGGCTGAGTCGAAATGTCATTGAAGAAAAGTTAAAAAAATTCTTAATAAATTATTTCTTGATTAATTAATAATTAGTGGGTATAGTTAATCAAAACCATATGACCCTATAATTTAATATTATTTAACCACTATGTAGTGGGAATGTTTTAATTTTACGGTTCATGACAGAGAATTTACATGTTAAAAATCAGTTTTACGATCTTATTTGAATAAGGTTTTATGACGCAAATTCTACTTTACATCCATTCAAGACATAAAATTTTCGTCTATTAAAAAAAAGATCTAGCATTATATTTACGTTTCAAAACATTAAATAAGCGCCAAAGCGTTTATTAAAAATTTTTTTTATTTTTTACATTTTTGCGTACTTTTTTTTTTCAATCCATCGTGCAAATTCTCTTTTTTAATTTCATCAAGATTTCTCTTATTAAAATTCTAAATCGATAATGTTGAATCCCTGGGCATGGTTTCCGTT